GGCAAATGGGTTGCTTGGGCCCTCAACCCCACGTCTACGGGAATGGTTGGCGCTCAAGCCATCGTCGCCTATCCACAGTCAGACGGCACTGTCAGGGTTTACACTTCCCCCATCAGAAGCTACCAGACAAGTCTAAAGGAAGGTGATCTTAGTTTCAACCTCTCTGGCTTGTCTGCAACTTACCAGAACAACGAGATGCTTGTGTTGGCAAGTCTAAAGCTTTCACAAGATATGGGGAATGGTGGAACCATTAACACTGTGTGGCAAGATGGCTCGATGTCCGGGAACAGTCTTCTGCCTCATCCAACCTCTGGCAACAATGTTCGCTCCTTGTCCACTCTCAATCTGGTCTCCGGTGTTTCTGTAGCCGCCGGAGGAGCTGGAGGAGGTTCCAAGCTCCGCAAACGCAACGTAAGTTGAGTCTTCAGTGGACATCTTGTTTCCTCTATTATTTTCTTTGGAAAACAGAGACTAATGATTGATTTTGGTTGGCAGATTCATGGAATATTGAACGGAGTGAGCTGGGGAATAATGATGCCGATAGGGGCAACCATTGCTCGCTACTTGAGAGTCGCCAAATCAGCAAACCCTGCTTGGTTCTACATTCACGTCTTCTGCCAGGCTTCTGCTTATATCATCGGTGTGGCCGGATGGGCCACTGGTCTCAAACTCGGTGGCGACTCACCAGGGATTCAGTATAGCACCCACCGTTCTATCGGGATTGCTCTCTTCTCTCTAGCAACAGTCCAGGTGTTTGCCATGTTTCTGAGACCGAAACCAGAGCACAAGCACAGGCTCTACTGGAACATTTACCACCACACGATAGGCTACACGGTGATCATCCTGGGGGTGGTGAACGTGTTCAAAGGGCTAGGCATATTGAGTCCCAATAAGCAGTGGAGAAACGCTTACATTGGTATCATTGTTGCTCTCGCCATTGTGGCCGTCCTGCTCGAAGCCTTCACTTGGTATGTGGTCATTAAGAGAAAGAAACTGGAGGAATCTGCTAAAACGGCTCCGCGTGGAGCAACCAATGGCGCTCGATCTCAGTATGCTTAAGATTAGCATTAGACTTGCTTCTTTTTCTATTTGTGCATAGCGAGAGTGATTCTTTTTATGGTTTCTCTGCTTATCTATCCATTTGCAATAGGTCAATGTCGGATTCCCATATGCATTTATGATTCTTTTAATCAAGATATGGGGCTTTTGCCTCTACTATTCCATCTGAACAGAGCTAATAATGCCATTTGATTTTATCAACACTAAAGGAGTGTACATGTGGATCTAAAAGACCCAGACCAGTCAATAGCTTAGACAT